GGTCATATCTGAAACTGCCTACTAGGTGTTTCCAGTTGGATGTTAACAATTGAGAGCTGCCAGTATGTATTGCTATTGGTTTTGCCTACTGAAAAACTCCTGTCTTAGAGAGTTTCCTGAACCCCTGAGATGTTAAGGGACTTATCTAGGGTCACATTGCCAGTATAGGTCAGAAGCAGGACTTGAACTCAAGTCTTCTTAACTCTGGAGTCAACTTTGTTTCTGCTGTGCCCCTCTACCTGTTACCTATATTTAAGTCACAGAAATTTTTTAAGCCCTCTAAAATCTCTTAACTACTGTCTCTTCTACAAGTGATAGAGTGGCCTAGTGGAGAGCGCTGACCTTACAGCCCAGAAAACCTACAGTCAGGTCTTATCTCTGACACACCCTGGTTGGCTACGTCGATCTCTTGGGACTCTTAGGAAACTCTCTAAGATTAAAAGTTGCATAAAAAGTGATGACATGAGTTGGGATTTCCTCATCTGAGAGAACACCGGTAGGTCCATTCCCTAACTTCCTCTCCCTTCTACAGAAATAGGTTCTATGAAGTTCTTTTCATCCCTCCAAAGCAAAGGGAGCTCCACTGGCCAATTTTCTCTGGTGGCATGCAAACATATCTCTGTGAAACCTTATTTGAGGATGGGAAGAGAAAGGGGAAAGCAGAAGGGTTGGGGGTGGGACTTATGGAGTGCTTTCCATCAGGCCCAAGATAAATTCTACTCACAGGTAGGCAGGCCCTGATTCAGGAAATCCAGCTACAAATAGTTAAAGTGTTTTTAAAGAGCCACAGTTTGCACCATAATGTTGTTACCACTCAGCAAGCTATAAGTTGCTGACAGGAAAGAAGTTGGGGATGAAAGGAGAATGTGCAACCTACCCTGGTATTTCAGGCATGGGGGAGCATGACAGGTGGTATGGGCCATAACCTGGCTTGTTGGTTTCATACCCTTTTCCTCTCAGTCTTTTGTTTTCTTTTGTTTGTTTCTTCCCTTCTTCCCTTTTCTAAGCATCTTTACCTCTACTAATGGGAAAGTCCAATTGAGGCTTAAGTTTCAAAATGCCATGAGTGAATGGATAATTGGTGACAAAATGCCAATGAGATAAGCTGCAGGAAAGAAGACTGGGAAAGCAGAGGAACTTAGATTGGCTGCCTCCAGATGCTCAGGATGTTTTATGGAAGCACATATCAAGAGGAAGGTACCAATGGGTCCTTGATTTCTGAGCCCCTTCCTATATACTGGGCAGTTAGGGGAAAGTAATGGTATGTCGGCAAGGACACCCTGACCTACGTGGATAGGGAAGAAAACCCTGTGAAACTTAAGAACAGAACACAATTTGACGAATGGCATCCAGAGGAATTTGGCTTTGAACTTTGGCAATTTCTCAAGGTTTAAGAGAAAAGGAAAATTTGCACAAGTGAACCTGACAACTCTGTCTCTGGGTAGGAAATGCAGAGTGTCTCAGCTCTTTAGCATCAGTTTGCTATTGCTTAAGTGATTAGCAAGAAGGACCGCTGGGTATAAGACAAGCACTATATTCCTAATTTGTAGCTACGCAGCCAAAGGATCATATATATGATCAGAGATTTAGAGCTGGAAACATCTCAAAGCCCATTATCAGACAAACCTCTTATTTTACATTTCTCAGTCAGGAAACTGAGGCACAAGGTTTGTAACTGGTCAATCATGGGATGGCAGCCATGCCCACCTCCACCCCACTTTCTTGTTTGAAGTAGCCATAAACAGAGTAGGAGATAGAGCTCTCCTGATCTCTCCTTAACAGGAAAAAAAAATGAGAGAGAGAGAAAGAGAGAGAGAGAGAGAGAGAGAGAGAGAGAGAGAGAGAGAGAGAGATTTCACCATGGATTTTAAGGATTCTGCTACAAAGAAGGTAGCTATTCCCTAAAAAAAATAATGACCCTCAATATAGTCATTTCTTAACCTATATCTCCAATTTAGTAATTTTTCAAGAAATCTTTAAATTGCTCTTGGACCTTTAGAAATCATTGTTTTTTGTTTGTTTGTTTTTGGAGTCAAGCTGTTTGACATATCAACGTTGAAATATCAAGTTTTCCAAAGAAGGGTGATCAGGAAAGAAGAGTGATAACTCTGCCTTACAAACATCCGTTTATTGCATCAAAACTATCAAGCTTAAGTTACTGGGCAATGAGAATGATCTTTCTGACCTTAAACCTTAGCCTGTTAGGTCATAGCAAGGGAGAAGGGAGGTTTCAAAGGAAGACGATGAGACACGAGAAGCAATGATTCCAATAAATGACAGCAAGGAAGAAAGGACCCTCCCACAGCAAGCGTGTGGGCCTGTCATAGTCTGTCTCAAAATCTCACTCTGACCCTAACAAGTTTGCCAAAGATATAGATCCCCCATTCTCTTTCAACTTCTGAGAAATCAGTGGAAGGAAGAGTTGGTACCTGCTGGCTGCTTCTCTGGTCCAAGACCATCCTTTTCTCTCATATTGCCTGAAGGAACTTGGACCACTGAATCCTTGTCCTGTCTCCCTTCTAAGAAAATTTCTGCCTTTAGGCTGTGGCCCAGAGCAATCTAGTAATGAAGGCAAGGTATCATGCTGCAGATTAATCATCTTTCCGTTCTTGTGGACAAATGAGAACTCCAACAACTTGAGAGCTGAGAGGAGATCTGGGCCTCATGTCCCAAACACTTTCCTTTGCTCACTTGTACAACAGAAAGGGCAGGTTCATGTGCCCCTGATATGGAAGGGGAGGGAAGAAGGAATGACCTTTAGCATTTCCATTTTTGGGGGGTGGATGGAAGGAGGTAGGAAAGGAGGAGAAGAGGCTCTGCTGCTATGTGCCTTAAGATAGATGTTATAGCTGAAGATTATACCCTCAGCTTGCCCGTGAAGAGCAAATGGATTCGGCCAAGTTGACGGTAAACACCAGCAACCATAGTGGTGCCAGAGTCAGTCTGTTTGACTGGGGAGGAAGAGCATTCTACAATTCATGGAAGAAGGAATGCTAAATTACAGTAACCTACTAAAGGTATCTCTGATTCAGACAAAACCAGGATGTGGAAGGCTGCCTGCTTTTAAAAGAAATGGTCAGTTATAGCCACTTATTTTTTTTCCCTTCCCCTTTCTTTTCTTTTGATAATCATGAAAATGGGTTAGACCTGGATACAACTGTGGACATTATTTTAGTCTGTGGAATAGGCTCTATAGTGATTATAGGTAATTTTTCCACAATCCAATTGGACATACATGATATTCACAATTTTTTTTATATATATTACTAGTTCTACAGAATGTAAATGACTAGGTAACCACAGTCCGAGAATCACTCCAAGAAAAAGCCTATTAGGTGGCAGGATGGTCACATTTGGACTGTAGCCAGTTGACAAACATTGAAGCTGAGAGAGTTTGGCTTAGGGGTTGTAGTACATAGTGGACATCCATTCTGACGGAGAATCCTATCAGACTCATTGTTATTTTGTTGAGATGAATCACTGCCGCTCTAACGATTCTCTTGGCATTGGATAGCTTTCCAGCAAAGGGAAAGCCCCCAAAGTTTGTGCAATAGATACCATGAGCTATTGGGGTAGTCCTTGCTTATTTTCTCCAGGGTCCCAGTGTTCTGTGTTTGTTTGTGTGTGTTGTTCTTTGTGTTGCTGTTGTTAGTGTGTCTCTGTGTGTGTGTGTTTTTAAAGAACAAACATTCAATAGCTTGTCCATTCCTGCTCCAGAGACCTTGCTTGACTGTATCAAAAATGGATAATTTTAAAGGTGAAAGACTTGCTAAATTGTTTGGAACATTAAATGCTTGGATGGTTGTGCACTACGCATACTGTGGTACAGCTAGGAAACAAAAACATCACAATTATGCCTGATGGTTAGAAAAAGCTGTTGACCACACTTTGAAATTGCTGATATATTTGCTTTCATTGCTGGCAGCTTTCAAAGGCCCCTCCTAAGCTATTCTATTAAATGCATTCATTGCTTTCATTTTTTCTTCTTCTGCATATATTGTCATAGCAATTATGGGCATGATATCCCAGCAACAAATGGAAAACCTAGAAATTATAACACATGGTAAAGTTATCTCCTTGTTAATGGAAATTAGCTGGCTTTCAAACAAGAGTCCATTTAAATGAATGAGTAGGTTAATAATATCCTATTGTGATGTGAAACTATTCAATGGCATTTAAACACACACACACACCAGCTAAAAGCTCTCAAACCTGGCCAAAAAAAAAAAAATGAAAGAAAGAAGAAAAAATGGAGGCACTTCCAAAACTGAACTCATTCACCTAGCAAATTCTCATTGGAAGACCTGTGAGGCCTGGCAGAATGCAGCTGTTAGACAGACAAGCCAATGAGAAGAGCTCCTCAAAGGTCTTGCCCACACTTGCCTTATCTCTGCTACACTCAAAAATGTTCACGAACTCCTAGCACTGAACATCACTTAGGGCCCTACTGGAACGAGAAAGTGCCTGGTGGGTCCAGAGGAGCCTAAGAAAATCTTCACTTTAAATAAATGAATGAAGGCAAAGGAATCCAAATGGAAAGCTACAGCTACAAAAATATGACTTTCCACTTTGAAAATAAATATGTTTCCATTTATTAAGAGCTGGTGTTGATGCTGATCAAAATTTACATCCTGCAAAAATTAAGCAGAAACTAAAGGAACTTATACTTTGTTTTCTTTTTTTCTGGTTTACTAAAATACACATGTACATTGTTGGACCTCTTTTTTTTTTAAAATAATTTGTCTTTCTGAAGTACAATTCATTTGCTGTGGTGACCATCATTCTCCTCAAAGACAGAGAGGGAAAAGAGACAGAGGCTTCTTAAGGAGTCTGGCCACTTACTCATTTTGGCTTTTGGCTTTTTAAAGGGACTTTACTTGACAATGGAGAAAAAGGAAATGAAAAAAATATTTTTTCTAATAAATAAAAATAATTTTAAATGCTAGAGGCTATACATGACTAGTTTTAATATGTTCATTTATAAATGAAATCTTTTTCCCCCAAAGTACATGGAAGCAATATTGAAGGCAGACAAAAGAGAGAGAGATCTGTCTACTTTATTTTTTTTCTCTCATAATTCTTGCTTATCCTAACTTTTCCACCAGTGATTCGGCATGTAAGAGGAAAAAAAGTCACATCACCATTTATGAAGTTTGTCAGGCTTTAAAAAAAATTAGTTCTGGTCTCCTGGGAGTCAACATTCATCTTCAACTTCTCTGATTGGTGGAATCAAGCTGCTTGTAGATTTATATTGGTTGATCTGGTTAGCCATATGGGTGCTCATGGGCTTGATTTGAATGTTTCTGGGATAGGCATTATCCGATTCATCTGTAAACCATTTCTTTTCTGCTAAAGGGCAAAACGGGTAGAGAAAGAAGGAGGGAAAATGAGAAGTTTAATTAGTCCTGTGGCAAAGCAGTCAGAAAGTTCATTAAAAAAAAAAGGCAATCGATAGAGTTTGATGCTGAATAATTACTAAGAAGTACAGAGCTCAGGATAAAGAACCCTGGAACCTTAAACACATCTGTGATGAGACTGCAGCCAATAGTTAGAGAAAAGTGGTAATGCAGTCTTAGGAAACCTGGTATGTTGGCCAACTGGATTGAGGGTGAAATCTCTAGGAATTTCCTCTGGAGTTTGAAGGCTTAGGAGGTTCTGGTAGGGCCGAGCTGGATATGGAATGTAGGTTATTACTGAATATATCCAGCCCTGAAGAATGGGCTGTGAGCTCATGGATTTGAGGGGAGTGTTGACAGAAAAGAGCCATGCATCATTGAGTAATCTAGAGGCCTTGTTCTCAGGCATTCTATGTATTCTCTTGCCTTCACATTCATATTGAATGCTTAACATTATGTCTGCCCAGGGCCACTACTTTGTGTTATCCATGGTCAAGTTTTTTTGTTCTGTTTTGTTTTGTTTTGTATTATTAGGAAATGCATTGTTTTTGCTGAATGTCTGTGCTGACCAGAGGTAGAAATTGAGATAGTGGACAATGTTACCAGAGCAAGATAACATTGAAATAGCTTGTAAGGCAGTAAAATTGAAGTAAACAAATTCCTAGTGGAGATGGCTCCAGAGATGCAAGCGAGAAAAAAATGTTAACAACTCAATATGAATCATGGCTTTTGAAAAGAGTTCAAAGGATCAGGTGATTTGGAGAGTTAGGTAAGAATGCCATAAAACTAAAACCCTTCTGGCAACACGACCATGTTCTTCAGTGAATTCAGCCCAAATCCCTACCTTAATTTAAAAAAAAAAATTTATTCATTTACTTTTGTTTGTTTGTTTGTTTGTTTGTTTATATTTAGCACAGATTGGCCAGACAGAGCCACAACTAGGTCAGGCCAGTGGGACTTTGCCACAGGGAGTCAAATATGGAGGGCAATGAAAGCACATGCAGTACTTCAGAAGCTAGAAATAACAGAGCAACTAAAATAGAAAACTACCCAAACAAGGGATCTGGGGTGAACTCCTTCCCCTCTTACTCCACCCTCCACCCCCAAAGTGAAGGCATGCTTCATGCCGCTCATCCCAGGCATAATTTATGGCTCTACTTTGTGGTACTTGCTCCAGGTGCAAAAATTCCTAGTTACGCCTCTATATCCGGGGGATGAACTTTATGTATAGATGTGAAAATGATGGAGAAATAGCTTTTGGTGTGGGGACTGTATGCCTTGTTTCAGTATTTAATCCCTCATTATCTAATGAGATAGTATTTGTAAAGGCCTTAGCACAATAGGAATTTTTCATATAGGAATATAGGAATTTTCTCTGGAGCTTAGTATGTGCTTAATAAATCCTTTCTTCCTTCCTTCCTTCCCTCCTTCCTTCCCTCCTTCCCTCCTTCCCTCCTTCCTTCCTTCCTTCTTTTCTTCCCTCCCTCCCTCCTTCCTTTCTTCTTCCCTCCCTTTCCTCCTTCCTCCCTCCTTTCCATCCTTCATTCTCTCTTTCCTTCTTTCCTTCTGCCAACAAGAGCAAAGGATCCTAGAATCAGAACTAGACCTTAGAGGCCGTTAAATCCAACTCCCTCAATATATGATGAGGAAACTGAAACATAATAAGATTAAGTGATTGGTTTAAAAAAAAACTATTCTTTGTACCGAGATGGGTTTACACCCATCATGCCATATTCCTCTGGCTTAAAAATCTACCTTTAGAAAAGTAACAGCCTTCCAAATCTTCATCTATATCCCCTGGGACATTTCCTTTAAAAGTAAATTATTAGAATGATTTGTTGGCTCTAATATCTCACTTGGTTTGTTAGTGTGTGTGTGTGTGTGTGTGTGTGTGTGTTTAATTACAAACTAAACACTAAAATTCAATCCTAAAATATTTTGAAACAGGAGACCCCAACACAGCAATGCTTTTCTACTAGTGGTGAAGTAGTTGGAGCCCTCCAACACACCTTGGCTGAAGGTAGGGATGATTTGGTCAAAGCCACACTCATTTTTGTTCAGCCCCCTTGGGCCCCCTCAAGTCGACTTGCCCCTCTGCTTTCAATCTCTCTCCTCCTGCACCCCACCGCCACCCCACTCTCCTGCTCTGGCTCTCTCACCTATTATAATTAAGTTCACTTTGATGTGAACAGATTGGAAGATCGGAATTCATAATGTTACATCCTGCACAGTGAAACTAACTGATTAAGTGCTTTAAATTATTCTCCCTGACAGAATGATAAAGTTACAATCTGTTCTGAGATGATCTACAGCTTGCCAGACTCCTACAGCTTCTTTCTACATTCATTTATCTTTTTGTCAAGCGGAGGGTTGTTTTTTTTTTTAAAGCTTCAATTCCATAGATCTTTTAAAGTCATCAGCACATCTGAATTATTAATGAGGCTTTGGAGGCAAAGCTCCTGATGGGCTGGTTAAAAAAGGCTGTATAAAAATCTGGGACTGTGTACACATCAAAATAATTTCAGCTCCATTTAAAAAACCATTTAGTTCAAGTGTGACATAGATGAACCATTATGCATTTGTGGAAACCAATTTTTTTGTGATCTACGATTAAGCTAACCTTTCAGAGAGGTGTAAAGTGCGATGGTTATCATGTTTTAAAAGCATTGCTGGATCACCTAAACAATTTCAAACTAAGACTTTTCAAATGGCTTGTGCATATGATGGTTTTGAAGGGAGGTACGCACCCGGGCTGTGTTAACCCAGCTTGGACTAGCTTTGATTTGCACCCCACTGGGACTGAGCTCATTTTGCTGAGAGTATTTAGTACAAGGTTGGGTATTTCCAGGCTGGAGGTGAGAAGGAACTCTGCTGATGTAAACCATTAGGTCTTTTTTGGCAAAGGGCCTGAGACAGCTGCAATTTGCTGAAATTTTTATAACTGTTAACGGAGAATAATTGTTCAAAATTTAGTCTTTACAGTTCAATTCACATTGGCATTTTGACCTTTCATGGCACAGAGAATATCAATTTCCTTCTGCCTTCCATAATCAAGGTAGAGTGCCCTTGCCCATTCTCATTTCTTTTTCTCTGTTTCAATTTCTTCTCATTCCCATCAAAGCCCCAAACCCCAACTATGCTGAGGCTATCCAAGTTTCCCCCAAAGTCAAGGTCAGGTTTGTACCTTTCCTGGCAGTTACAGAAGAGTCTCTCCTTACTGAGCGATGCCAGCTCATCCATTAAAGCTATCTGGATAAACCACACACCCGGTTAGAACCTTTGTGGGCATGAAACGGGTAAGAAGTGCAAATATCTAGGTAGATAGATTGGATGTTCAATTTAATTTAATTAATACGTAAGACTGTAAATGGAAATTATGCAAAAATTTAGATCTTAAATTGGTATAAAACAAGGGGACACACATCAGCTATTTCCATTGTTGCTGACGCCATTCCAACCCCAATGCACCATGGCTAAAGCTGGGCCAATTTTGTAAATATTGCCCCTGCCTGTACTTTAGGATGGATGTATCCATTTACAATATATTATATTCCTTGAGTTGTTTCTATTGCAAACTCCCTGATCATTTTGCTGAAGTGGCTGATGGCAAATTTCAGCGATAAAAATACTATCTTTCTCTCCATGGAAGTTATTTCAAGTGGAGCAGAGTCATGAGGGAGAAGTAAATTTGGTCTATTAGTTCTTTTCCACAGATGAAGTCACAGAGGCAGTGGGGTGGCAGAAGAACTGCCTCTGGGGATAGAATGCAAAGAAGGCATTGCCACTTGTTTGGCATTCCTCGTGACTCCAAAGTAGAGTCTCAAGACTCTTTGGGCACTCACACCATGTATCACTGACCAAAAACACTGACTGGTATGGTGTCTCAGGGAGGTGTTTACACTGGCTTGTCAGGGTTAAAAAAAAAAACAATTCTGGTGAGCTCCTGGCCATCGAGTCATAGAACCATGGAGCTGGAAGGAACACTAGAGATCCTTGACTCCCATTTTTCAGATGAGAAGATTGTGACCCAGAAAAGTGGAGTGACTTGTTTGAGGTCACAGGGGCATCTCCAGAGGCAGAGCTGCGATGCCTCAAACCTGATTCCCAGTCTCTGATTTGCAGATTCCCAGATCTGCTTTCTACTAAAGCGAAGACGACATAAACACAATCATTTGTTTTCCACTGTTCATTATGACAGGTTTAGCATTATAGGATTTTGTGAATCATCCCTTATCAAAGGTGATCCATGTTTTATCACTACTAGTATATTCACATAAGAGCATGGTGATAAAGTTTCTTCAGGCTTCTTGAGGTGAGAAATGATCCACTGATAGAATCTACTGTTTTTTATGAGATATCTACGTGGGAAAAGAAGGAAGTCCTGGACTCTCATGTTTCCACTCTGACAGTTTTCTCCAGGTACCCATTCTTGGTGTGTTCTTACCACCACATCAATATAAGAAAGATTATAGTATTTGAGAGAAGCCACTGTGGGCCAACGTGCCATTCCATACCCTCCCTATACCAATGGAATTAACAGGGATGAAAGAAGGTAGCTCCAAGGGTTCCAGTTACTGATTTAAAAATAAAAAAAAAAAACGAAAGAGGACAGACCCTGGCAGACATCTGGATGAGGCATCTTCGAAGGCCAACCATTCTGGTTCTTATATAGGAACAATGAGGAGGATAAAGGAAAAAAGCTAACCCAGACCACCAAGAAGGCAATTCTGGATAAGGAAGCGCTTTGGGAGATGGGAGTGAGAGGTAAGAGTGGTTTCATTTGCTAAGCTGGACTCAAGGACCTAAGGACTCAACAAACAAGGATTTAGTTTTTTGAGTAGGCCTGAGTACTCTTGGCATGGCAGAGGGAAGACAAGAGAATTATTGGTATAAAAGACTAAAAAAAGGAGTTTGCCAAAGTAGACTTCAACAAATTTTTGTACTCTGCATTGA